ACTTAACACCTTGAACGCGATGGGGGGTAAGGTATAAGCCACAATAGCCGAGGATTTACCCTCAACAGTTTTCTGTCGGCAGTCAAAGGCTTAAAATAAGGGCACAGAGAACAAGATATCTACAATAGGGAATGAGCCTAGTTTCTTAAACTGAAGTCAACTCTTGGCTGCGACGTACCACTGACTGACTGACATACTCAATTTACATTTTTATTGAATTAGAGAACTGCAGTCTCTCTAGGAACCTGGATATGGTTTTGTTTCACATGTATTTGTATTCAAGTTTATATGTAGCATGTACTAAAGATTTATTATTTTTGTTTGCAGGTAATTCGTCCTTCTATTAACAGTGGAGTTATATGAATTTACATCATGAGTTCACATGGTCTGCTATTCGTGATCTCTTCAGAATTCAATTGAAGTAAGTATGTATGTCTTACATACTTACTCCTCTAGTAAGTATGTAAGAAATGTAGTGATTCAGAGGTTCTTGGCTACTATTTTATCAATGATCCTTATGAATGAATCATTTTAGATTTTGTTTATGTATAGACGAACAAATAACAAAACGATGACTCACAAAAATCAATTCTAAAACAAATCACAAAAATAACCTTCACATATTAATGTACAAACAAAATTACCAGCCGACATTCCATAGAAACTTCTGACGAATTGTTTCAAATAGCGTGATCGGCGTCCAATCCATACATAATGCGTTGATAATTACATTGTGTTAGTCAATTATACTTCTAGGAAAATTGTTCATAGTTTTTTCGAGCCGTGTGTATTCCGTTTAACGGTTTGCGTGTTCACAACTTATGCATCTTTGATGCACGGACGGGCCAATAATGTCAGAAAGTGTTTTTTTTTATTTTTAGGCTACCTTATAAAAGTCACACCGTATTTAGTGCATTAGGTCGACTTTATCGATCCGTTCGAAAATAGTAACAAACGGATAGTGACCTAATTTGGAGGTTTTAACTTATGATTAAATGTGTCGCCCGCCTTTTGAGTAATTGGATCTATTTATGGGTGTGTGTGAGTCTTTTTGTTGGAGGTGCGTAATTTTTTTAATAGCTACTTTATTACGTGGCTATTTTTAGTACGTAACAAAGTGTTAATGTTATTGTACTGTATATTTCTCTCAATATACTTAATTGATATAAAATCCTTCGGGAAATCACGGAAACGAATCAAATATAAAATGGTTTTGGAAAAATTTTATTAAAAGTGCTGTTACATGTTACATATTTTTCGCCTTTGTAAAAATAATACTTATAAAAAATATATATTTCAGACAGAGAGACCAGGCTTTACTCGAATACGTGCAATTTAGTTTGCCAGGTACCAGGCTCTCATATTTTAACAGGAGCGTGTCCTGTTTAACTAAGCATATTTTAATTGGAACTGTTATTTTCATTGGTTAACTACATGTTTTTAAAAACTTAGGATGTTCTATACCTACTACCAAAATATTTTAAAGAAAGTATTGAATAATGTTTGAAATTTGAAAAACTTATTTATTTTTATTTTATACGTACACTTTAATCATAAAACCTAAAACAAAAATGGTTTAACAAATATAAAAAATTAAGTTTGGCTAAACAAATATTGAGCTCGGTCGAATACGTGTGAACTAAAGTACTAGGCGCTCATATTTTAGCAGGAGCGTGTCCTGTTTAACTAAGCATACTTTAAATGGAACCATACAAAAATCTTTTTAAGAAAGTATTGAATAATGAACTTAATGATCTTTATTTAATACGTACACTTTAAACATGAAACCTAAAACAAAAATGGTATACTTTTGCTAGACAATACTGAGCTCTGTCGGTTACATGTGAACTAAAGTACTAGACGTTCATATTTTAGCAGGAGCGTGTCCTGTTTAACTAAGCATACTTTAAATGGAACCATACAAAAATCTTTTTAAGAAAGTATTGAATAATGAACTTAATGATCTTTATTTAATACGTACACTTTAAACATGAAACCTAAAACAAAAATGGTATACTTTTGCTAGACAATACTGAGCTCTGTCGGTTACATGTGAACTAAAGTACTAGACGTTCATATTTTAGCAGGAGCGTGTCCTGTTTAACTAAGCATTGTTTAAATGGAACCATAAAAAAATATTTTAAAGAAAATATTGAATAATGAACTTAATGATCTTTATTTAATACGTACACTTTAAACATAAAATCTAAAACAAAAATGGTATATTTCTGCTAGGCAAAGACTGGGCTTTGTCGGATACGTGTGAACTAAAGTACTAGGCGCTCATATTTTAGCAGGAGCGTGTCCTGTTTCACAGAGCATATTTTAACACGTTCGCGGACGCGCCGGTTATGACAGTCATTAGGAACTTGCGCAGAATGACGCGCCGGCTATACCCTTCGATATTTTTTTGTGCTCTAGAAGCACAACTGCTTTAGCAGACGAATTTCCATACTGCTACCATATAGTTCATCATCTAGTGCCCCCAAATTAAATTATTCGAATTGCTAGGTGTCACGGAACATGTCTTTTTACCGCTTCCAACGTACTACTACTTGGAACATTTGTGTGCGCACTCACACTGACGCAGCGGTCATAGCAGCGGCCATTGTATGAGAATTTGTTCCGTTGGCTGCGGAGTGCACCGCGGACTGCACACGTCAGGAACGTGATTTACGCGCGGTTTTTGACCAACATTTATGGTAAGTAGAATTGATTTTTATGATTAAATAATTAGATTACCTATATTAGTAATATTTAAATGAAACGTAGGTACTTTAGAACATAATAATGTATATAAATACAAATCCTACTAATATTATAAATGCGAAAGTTTGTGAGCTGTGACATACAGCTATGTAGGTATGTTAGTTACTCTTTCACGCAAAAACCACAGAAAGGATTTGGCTAAAATTTGGTACAGAGATAGTTTATAACCTGGATTAACACATCGGATAGGTTTTTATCCCGAATTCATGTTCCCGTGGGATAATTTTCGAGTTGTAGTGGGTGAAGCCGCTGCGCTGGCAACAGCTAGTATTGATAAATCATTGTTAATA